ATGTTATTGCTGTCAGAACTTATTTATTTGAAAAACACAGTGAAAGAGAGAAAGGAGTGGGGGAGGGAGAGGGAGATAGAGATCTTCCATCTGCTGGTTCACTCCCCAAATCACTACAACAGCCGGATCTGTACCAGGTGGAAGCCAGGAACCAGGAACTCCGACCTTGTCTCCCACGTGAGTGCAGGGGCCCAAGCACTTTGGTCATCTTCCACTGCCTTCCCAGGCACATTAGTGGGAAGCTGGATTGGAAACAGAGCAGCCAGGACTCCAACCAGCATTCTGATATCAGATGCTGGCATCCCAAGCAGCAGCTTAACTCACTGCACCACAATGCCAGCCCAAAATGTTGTTTAAATCATGATTATACAAGCAGAGAATGACATTTAGAGTAAAAAGCTGGGGGCCGGCACTGTGGCATAGCGGATAAAGCCGCTGCCTGCAGAGCCAGCATCCCATATGGGTGCCTGTTTGAGTCCCGGCTACTCCACTTCCAATCCAGCTCTCTGCTGTGGCCTCAGAAAGCACTAGAAGATGGCCCAAGTCCTTGAGCCCCTGCACCAGTGTGGGAGACCCAGAGGAAGCTCCTGGCTCCTGGCTTTGGATTGGCACAGCTCCAGCCATAGAGGCCAATTGGGGAGCGAACCAGTGGATGGAAGACTTCTCTGTGTCTGCCTCTCCTTTTCTGTGTAACTCTGACTTTCAAATAAATACATACATCTTTAACGAGAGAGAGGGAGAGGGAGAGAGAGAGAGAGAGAAGCTGGCAAAAGTTAAAAGTTAACCCTTTAAAATTTTCTATTTCGTATTTGCTAAAATGAGCATGTATTTCCTCTTTAAGAAAAAAAAGTTACTGAAATGTATAAACTCTTCGATTTATTTTTTATTTTTTAAATTTTTAAAATTTTTTTATTTTTCTTTGACAGGCAGAATTAGACAGTGAGTGAGTGAGAGAGAGAGAAAGGTCTTCCTTTTTCCGTTAGTTCACCCCCCAAATGGTTGCTATGGCCGGCGTGCTGCGCCAATCCGAAGCCAGGAGCCAGGTGCTTCCTCCTGGTCTCCCATGCGGGTGCAGGGCCCAAGCACTTGGGCCATCCTCCACTGCCTTCCCAGGCCACAGCAGAGAGCTGGACTGGAAGAGGAGCAGCCGGGACAGAATCCGGCGCCCCAACCGGGACTAGAACCCAGGGTGCCAGCGCCGCAGGCGGAGGATTAGCCTGGTGAGCCGCGGCGCCTGCGTATTTTTTAAAGTTAGCCTACAATGATGAAAGAAAGCACGAATTCAGCTTTCGGGAGGACTGGACAACTGGCGAGGCAAGCAGATGTCTTCCCGGACGCCAGGGGCGGTCACCACTGCGCAGCCGCAGCTTGCACTCCACCAGGGGAGGACGTCTCACCTCAGCGCCAGGTAGGGGGTGCCGGTGCTGGAGCCATCTGGCAGCCCAGACCCAACCTCCATGGCCCTCCCTTTTCCCAAGCCCCAACCGAACCAGTCTTCCTCCTGCCCAGGCCCTTGCACACCGGGAACTCTGGCGCCGGAGCAGTCGCTCAGACCTTCCATAACGGTGGGCCGTCTGTGCCCTATCCACCCCTCCCCGCCATAGCCCAACCCAGACCCACAGAGCGGCTTCCTGCCCCACACTCAGATCCCGCCCCAGTCCCTGTGGTTGCTTCTTTCACCCCTCCCCAAGGTGAGGACCAGCCCCTGTGAGACGGGAACATGCAGTCCAAGTCAGGACACCCAGAACCCCACCTGCTGCCCACATGGGCACTTCTCACCGGCACTCTTGAGTGCCCTGCCCTGGATGGATCCAGTGAAGGCTCCCACTGCTGCCCCTGGGCCCTGCACCCCTACCTCCTGTGCCCCCTGTGCTCCATGGCCCTGGGCTGGGTCTCTGGGCAACAACCTGGCGTTCCTGAGGGGTAGGAGAGTAGGAAGGACATGTGACCAATCCAGGCTGCCCAGCAGGCTTCAGGCAGAGCTGGGCCAGGTGGACACCAATGCAGAGGACTTTGATGGCAACCAGAGGGTTAGAGGGTAGTCCTCCCCACACTAAGGACCCTGGACCCCTCCCCCGACCTTAGCGGAAATGTCACAGGGGAAAGCAGCTGAACAGGACCCAAGACAGGGGCGGTAGCACGTTCCATGTCCACCAGGGCAGCCATGGGACTCTTTTGGGCTGTGCGTGTTGAAGTGATGGGGAGAGGAGGGTGGAGCAGATCTCTGAGTTGTTTGGGAGAAGCCAGATCAATGGGCCAGCCTCTCACCTGTGAGGAACTCAAACTCTCAGCTGTGAAGAGCTTGGAAAGCACTGTGTATAGGTGTAGAAACACTCCTGGGGCTGTGTTTCAATTTTCCCAGGTACTCCTGGAAAGTGAGGCTGGAGCCAGTGTGCAGATCAGCCTGGGCACTGGACACCAGGCACTCACTGGGCAGGCTCACCGTCCTCGAAGCACAGGTGCAAGGCCAGGCAAGGAGAAGGTACAGAGGCATGGCCCTGCATTCTTTCTCCTCTGGAAGGGGCCACACTTGGGACTTCTGATGCGGATCAGTCCCCCTTTCCTGGCCCTGCAACCTTTTAAAAAATGATGTTTTTATTTACTTATTTATTTGAAAGGCATAGTGCAGGCACTCAGACTGTTTCCCACTGCTTTCCCAGATGCATTAGCAGTGAGTTGGATCACAAGCAGAGCAGGTGGGACTTGAACCGGTACTCTGATACAGGACGCTGGTGTTGCAAGCAGCAGCTTAACCCACTGCACCATCACCACCAGCACCCTACACCATCAACACCATGCAACTCTTGGCAGATGGTTTAATCTTGCCAAACCCCAGGTGTCAGGACAGGTCCTTGACAAAGCAGAGAGCAGGAAGGGGAGCCACTTCCAGCCAACAGGACCTCACAGTTTGGGACCACCAGCTGCCTGCCTAATTGCTCCCCTGGACCTCAAATCCCATTTTCTGTAGGCAGAAGGAGCCAGAACACTATTTGGTTGTAAATGAGAAACACGTGAGAATACCTCAAACAAAAATGGGAGTTTATTGGACCCAGATACTGGGACATTAAAGAATAGACCCTGGCTTCAGACCTGGCTGAATCCGACAGTTCCAAGGGTGTGTGTCTTTCTCCTTCTAGGAACCCACTTTGCTCTGGACCATTGCACTCTCAGAGGCCTCCCCCTTCTCACCCCCCACAGTGACCAAAGTCCCAGCGTCGCCAGGCTATGGTCTGTCCAGCTGCACCGTCCAGCAGAGGATAAACTGCTTTTACCATGTCCCTGGGCTGGCTGTCAAGGACCAGCACCGGCCACCTGCTGATCCCTGTTCCAGTGTTTTGGCCTGAGGCTTCTAGCAGCTCCAGGGCCCGACGTAGGCTACCATCACCCTAAAGGACTCTCAGAAGACTGATTCCCAGGGTAAGGCGGCTGCCAGGGATCACAGCATTCCTTTATATCTCTCCCAACCATGGGACTGTGAGTCCCCAAGGAGCGCAGAGGGCAGATTTGGACCCTGCTAGGGCCCATGGCTCCAGTGTCTTGGTGCCATCCAAGGATCTGCTGACCTCCTAGTCCTCACATCAGTTACAAACCGTGGAGGTCACTCCAGGGCAGAACGGCCTCACCTGCCGCCTCTGGTAGACCTCAGCAGCGGGAGGCTTTGCACCTGCCTGCCTCACTCTCCCTTCTCTAGTCTGTTCACTTCTTCCGGTCGCCTGGCCCAGCCCCCTCCCCACAGCCCACCCAGAATGGTCCAGTTCCCTGTGAGACCACAGGGTTAGGATCTGCTTCCCCAACACTTTGTAAGTGCCAGGAGGCCACAGGCTGGATCAGTTTCCATTCCTCATCCAGTTCCTAGAACCAGGACGGGCACGGAGTGGGTGTTTAGGAATGAGATGAATGAATGGAGTGACTGCCAGTGGAGGGTAAGGGGTGAATGCAGTGGCCCCTGAATCAGCTGTTTCTCAGCAGCATGACTCAGCCAGAGCCCCTCCTTCAAGGGCAGAGCCTCAGGTTCCTCAAAGGTCCAGACGGGACCTCTTCCCAGGGCCTGGGGAGCACGGTGGAGCTGGAGATGACGTCAGGAAAAAGGCTCCACACAAGACATAAAGAGCTCCATTTTGTTCTCTAACAACTAGGGAGGATCTGTTTAGAATTTCAGGTTTTTTTTTTTTTTTTTTTTTTTTTTTTTTAGAAAAAAAAAAAAAAAAAAAAAACACCAGATGGCTCAGAGTGCGTAAACGTTGGGCCAGTTCTCGTGACCTTCCTCGGGAGATCGGGGCCCTGAGCGCAGTAGGGAGGGAGGGGCGGCCAGGAACCAGGGCGGGGAACGCCGGCCCAGTGACTCACTCGAGGTCCGACAGCCCGGGCGGTTCGTGCGCTCGCCGGCCAGCTGCGCGAGGGTCAGGGCGGGGAGCGCTGCTGCGAGAGGTGGGGGTTCCCTGGGCCCCCACTGGAGTCTGCCCCAAGTCTGGTGCTGCAGTAGATCTTGGGGTTAGATTCTGTCGCCGCCCGGCTATCGGCTGTCCAGTTTTGGCAAAGTCCCTTCCACCTGCAGGGGGTCTCAGTTTTCTCGGAGTTCTCTCCTCGCGGGGTAGGGGGCTGGGATTTCAGGCCTGTTGGGGTCGGCGCTGCCACTGAACCTGCCCTCGGCAGGGTCCTCTGGAGCCTGGGTAGGAGCCTGTGGTCGCACGCACCTGGCAATCAGGTTCCATTGTCTATCCCGTTTCACAGTGGGGAAACTGAGGCACGGAGCGACGCGTCTCTGCCTGAGGCTCCAGCTTAGTCTGAGGTTGGTCGGATCCAGGCCGATTGCCCCTTCCCGCCCCCCTCCAGGATCCCCCGCCCCACGCCCTCGCGCCAGCCTGCACCCGCGTCTGGGAGCCGCCCCTCGCCCACTTCCCCGACTCCCAGGACCCAGTCCCCGCCGTTGTCACGACAACCAGAGGCCAATGGGGAGCAGGCAGGGAAGGAGGCCCCGCCCCGGCCCCACCTCTCCCTGAGTGCTTGGGGCTATAAGGGCCCGGGGGCCGGGCGGCGGGAGCTCGAATCCGCGGGGCGCGAGGCGCGCACGGAGATCCAGAAGAGTCCGGAGTGAGCGACCCCCAGCCGCAAAGGGAGGCGGGAAAACGCCAGAGCAGCAGCCAAGATGTGCGGTGAGTGCCGCTACTGCTCCTCCGTGGCCTCGCGGCGCTGCGGCTCGGGAGCCACGCGCTGGACACCTGGGTGGGGGCGCCGATGTGCCCAGTCCCCCGACCGTGGGACTAACACTGGCCCGGCCTCCCGACCCAGGCCACCGAGTGGGGTCTCCGGGACTTAGGAAGAGGATCCCCGGCCCCCGACACGGAGAGGGGGGCCCAACCCAGCCTCCCTCACCCCCAAAAGAGAGGGATCGATGTGGTCCGGGTTTTGAGCTCCGCACGGCAGAGGTGTCCCCACCCCACGTCCAGCGAGGGCGCTTTTCACTTCCCAGGCGGCCACAAAGGCGGCCACGCGCAGGCTCGCGCATCCCGGCGCCTCTCTGCGCGCCGCGCCCACCGCCGAGGGGCGGCTCCGCCTGGGGCGCTCCGGAGGGAGACCTGGAGTGAACCCGTGTCCTTGGGAGGGTGGGCTCCGTGCTGTCGCGTCTGTGCTGTGAAGGGCTATGGACGAGGTGCGGGCGAGAGGCAGGAGCAGGAGAAGGAATCCAGGGCAGGCGCGGACCGGCCACCGGGCGCTGTCCCGCCGGGCTGCGCTTGGGGAGGCGTCCGGGAGCGCACATCTGCAATTCCTTCCCCTCCTGGCCCGGCTGCCTCCGCTGGCCGGCGGGGATAGCGCCGGGAACTTATGCTGGGACAAAAGGTCACTGTGTGTGTGTGTGTGTGTGTGTGTGTGTGTGTGTGTTTTCTTTTTTGCTGGAGTAGGATTCAGTTACCCATTCCAGCCTCCCGTGGCTGGAGGACCTGGTGGAACTTTTGAAGCCATGAAAGGCCTCTCTGACTTTGCCGAGGGCTGCAGGGTGGGGCGAGCCAGCGGTGAGCCGGGGGCCGAGGTCTGTACAGTCCTTGTTTCAGAGGCCAACTGCTCTCCACAGAGAAATGCCCCCACCAAGAAGTGGGCAGCCTCACCCAGGCCGAGCAGGCATCTGTTTAAGATTTCTAATTCCTCAGCAAAGGTCTCAGGGCTCCCAGGCATTGCTCCCAACTGGTAGGGCTGCCTTTGGGCAATTCTGGGGGCAGATGAGACCACAGGGGCCGATTTGTTGGGTCTCCCAGCTCTTGGGGCTCCAGACCCCTCAGCGGCAGCCTTAGAGCTAGGTTTGCGATCCATACCCTTGAACCAGGAGGCTCTGACCACCCCCCAAGCACCGGAGGCTTTCATCCCCCTTACCACCACCACCCCCAGAGTGCCATCCTGCTGCCTAGGGCGTTTGGTTTCCTCCAGCGTCTTCCTGAGTTGTGAGGGGCTCTCCTTCTCTCGACTCTCAAAAGCAGCAATCTTTTTGGCTTTTCTGGAGGGCTAGGGGTTGCCTTGAGGTCTCCAAAGGACCCCCAGAGCTCAGGAGCAGTGGCCACCCAAGTGGATGCCCACTCAGAGGCAGAAAGAGTGCAGTGGACCCAGGGGCCATCTCAGAATGCATTTCCCTAAGGAAGATCCTTGCTGATGATGGGGAAGGGGGTGGCAGTGCAGCTCAGCTGGGAGTCGTGTGGCATCCTGCATAGGAAAAGTATTTCCATTTCCAGTACAGCAGGCGCTGATGTGTCTAACATCTCTCTGACACTTGCCAAGCACCCTTGGCACTGGAGAAGCTGCCCCCTGTCCCCGCCCCAGGTGGCAGCAGGCCGGAGTCCGACACATTGCTTTGCTTTGTTCGGGGATCAGGGTCTGAGGATGCATGGCAAGTAGTACTCGTTTTCCTTTTGTGGTTGTTTTCTTTTGTAATCAACACACTAAAGTCTTTGAAAATTTAGTCCGTGTTACAGGAAAGGTGTTTTTAAAATGAGTATTCCATGTACAAGCAAAAAAATCACAAATATGATCCTGAGAAGAATCACGTAATCTCTTTACTTTATAGCAGGGAAACGGAGCTTCGTGCTCTGTGCCACTTGTCTGGGCAGGGCCTTTCTCAGAGCTGTTGCTGCTACCTGGAAACCCCCTGAGATCTAGGATCTCCTGGGCTGTTTCTGCAGAGGTCGAGACTGTGGCCCTTCCTTGTCCGTGTGTGCTGATGAGTCTGCTTGGATTGTGCCTTTGCTGCTTCTCCCACAGAAAGCGAGGACCACCCCCCAGCAGCCGATCCTCTGCACACTGAGCAGGTGCCCCCAAAACCCTTCAGGGCACTGAGAGCTCAGCTGGATGACACTTGGGAACTCACATGCGGTTTGGTTGACAGCAAGGATGCTGGCACTGTGCTGACTTTCTGCCTCCAGAAAGGTTACGATATTTTCTTCCTGCCTCCATCCCTCCCTCCCTTCTTTCCTTCTCCCCTGTCTTCTTGCAGAGTGGCTCTCCGTCTTCCAGGCCCTGGGGCCTCCCCCGCAAGAAGGGCAGGGGGATTGAGGACCAGTTTGGGGCTGGTCACTGACCAGGGAGAGGAAGAGCAGCAGTAAATGCTGCCCCAGAGGGAAAGCAAGGAGCCCCTGCCACAGCTCCCAGTGCAAGGACAGCCCAAGCAAACAGGCGTCTTTTCCTTCCGTGCACAGGATCTACACACTTTACAAAATCAGTTACCAAATGAAACAATTGGGAGATTTCACAAAAGTAGGTGAGACTTTGGGCCTCTCTTGAAGAAATCCAAAGATGAGCACCCTGGAGTGTCTATTTTTGCATGGGTGATGGGCACACGCTCGCCAGTTTTCCCAGCATCCTCACCACTGCCTCACTTGTTGGTGCCACCTGTCAGCTTCAGGCAGCCTGAGTGTGGGACTGCAGCTGGGAGAAGGCAGAGAGCAAGGACCTGGGCTCAGCTATGAGCTCCACTGACTGAGAAGGGGATGGCTGGTGTGCTGGGCTGGGTCCCTCGTCAGTACGCTGGTCTCAGCCTCTGTGGTCCCCTCACCCGCCTTCTCCTCATCCGCACCAAATCTCCCTCCTCTTCTACACCAAATCTCCCTCTTCTGCCCTCTAACAAGGACACCTGGGACTGCTCTTAGGATACTGCTCATCTCGATGTCCTTAACACAACCTCACCTATGAAGACCTTTCCCAAATAACAGCATTTACAGATTCCAGGAAATGGGACCTGATATCTTGGTGGCCATTATTCACCCTACTTTAAGGTGCCTGCCCCCCTGATACACCAGTGACTCTCAGGTATTCGAGTCTCAGTGGTGAGGACCATAACCAGAGATCCACCAGCCTCCCCCTCCCACACATACACCCAAGTCCCCTGGTCCCGGCACCCTTGAGTGGACTCACGGCAGCCAGAAGGTGAGCACTGGCATCAGGTAAACACCCACTCCTTCCCTGGCCTGGCGTTTTCCTCCCCTTTATCTCTTCTGTGCAAGAAGGGGTGTAGCTGTTATTCCCCACAATCAAAGGAGATCAGGGAGACACACACACACATACACACATACACACACACGCACATGGATCTGTTTGCTTGTGTGAGTAGAATCATTCTTCCAGAGAGCTTGTCCAGTGCCTACTGAGGACTTCTCTCCCATCTCAGCCGGAGATGACACCTTCACAGTTTTCTCCAGAGAGGTTTAAGGACTCTGAGGAGGGCTCACCCTTTTCCCTATTCTTCTTCCGGCTCTCAGAGCCCCATCTGACCTGAGACCCGCTTCCTCTTAGTAACATTGGACCCCTAGGAAGCAAGCGGCTTCTTTGGATGGACTGGAGTTGGTGAGGTGCAAACTCAGGGCAGGATGCTTGGACATCCCAGATGGACTGGAGTTGGTGAGGTGCGAACTCAGGGCAGGATGCTTGGACACAGCCCCAGTGGCCTCACTGGTGAATACAGACTCCTGCTCAGGGAGGCGCTGATTGGCGTTGGCAGCAGGCTCTCCACTTTGCCAGCTTCACCATGGCTGGTTCCAGGTCGTCAGTGTGAGGGAAGGGATGGACACAGCCAGCTCTGGGGCATAGCGTTCGCAGACTCCTTACCCTGGAGTCTCCCTACCCACCCTGTTGTGGCTGCTGTCAGATGGAGGAGTTGCAAGGGGCCCCAGCAGTGGGGGCTGCCGCTGCTCTTCCGCCTCTTCCCTCACTGTGGGAGTCCTCTGTCCCTCAGCCTTGTCCATCAGGGGTTTCCCAAGGTCAAAAACCTTCTGGGAAATTTGTGACAGCATTATTACTGAACAGTAAATGGAATGGTTTTTATTTTTGCTTTGTTTCAGCAAAAGTGGCTTCTAAAGAGAGGTAAACTGGATTTACAGTCTCTGAAGATGACTCAGTGCCGAGGCAGTTAACCAGTTTAATCTGATTATCTGCCTCTTAATTTTCAAAGGAAATATTTCTTCCTGAAAAAATAAATTGGCTTCCTTTATAGCCAATTTCTTTCAGATTAAACAAGACTTGTATTTTTTTTTTCTTACAACTGTTTTTTTTTTTTTCTTTTCCTGAAATGGAGAGTATATGTCAGTACTTTGTTCTTAGTGGAACCCTAAAATGACAAAGACACTAGAAACTATTGGTTAAAAGTAGACCTGCCTTGTCCAGGGTGCAGCAGGAAGCAGAGCCCATGTTAGTTCCTGGGTTCTGTGGTGCCGTGGCTCTAACTAGGCAGGATGAGGCTGTCCCTAGAGCAGCCAAGTCAGCCTCCTGACCCTGAGCCAGCTCCTAGTCTGCTCAGGGTCCCTGGCCAGGTCTGCAGGGCCTCTGGGACCATGTGTAAGAACCTGGCTGTGGGATCCACACGGGTGCCTCCAGGGACCTCCGCCTTGGTCTCATCTCTGCGAGGAGTCAGCAGGGATTGTCATCCTCAGCTCCACAGTCCAGAGGTGCAACGTGGCTACACTCTTCTGTCTGGGCATGGCGTAATCCAGTCTATATTAGGGAACCTAATCTATATTAGGTTTGTGGACTAAAAAGGCCAGTGCCCCCACTCCAGCTGGTCATTGTCACTATCTGTCACTTGCTGAGTGTCCAAGGCCCCTGCCTGTGTGTCTCGGTCCTGGCTCCTGTGTGACTGCTCAGCCCCATGCAGAGAGTGCTAAGATAGGACAGGGGCCGC